GTGAATAATTCCAAATTTCACATATACACCAGTGTAAGACCAGGTTCTATTTTTTTTTTCCTGTTAGTATTCTTTTTTTATCTATTGTTTTTTCCATACACTTTTAATACTGGCCTCCATCTTATTTCGTTACGTTGCTTTCTCATCCTTCCTATGGTCTTTACATATTTCTTCAACGTTGCTTGCTGCTTTGGTTGGAGGAAGAAATTAAATCTGCAGATTTCAGCCTTGAATTTATTTCTCCATAATCTTTAGCTAGAGATAATTATAGGAATGGGAATTCTAATAAAATGTTAATTATATATATATGTGAGCGGGTGAATGGATTATTTATTTTGTATTATTTTATTTGTTGCGAATCTGGGAGTGCATGGTGGTCCAATGGGGAACGACACGGAGTCCCCTTCCGTCCGAAGCGGTCAGTATAAACTGACCACTCGGATAATTTCTTCCTTTTTTTGACCGCCAGAATGTAGGTCAGGTCAGCTTCAGTGGTCGCGCTTTGTGCGTTGGAGGTATTTGTTTTTTTATACTTTATCTTTATGTGATTTGTATGAATGCGACTGTCGATGGTTCTCGTTTTCTTTCATTTTCGTCTAAAACGAGATAGTGAGCATCGGCATGTCTTGTATGCACGTGGTGTGTTATTTTGAATTAAAATGTATTTTTGGTGTTTTCTAAACCCGTGGCGTGTGTTTCGGACCACGTGGTTTAGGCCAGTGTGTTTAGGAGTGTTTCCTAAACTTGTGTGAATGCGTGTGTGCAATTACTTGATTTTTTATGATGTGTTGTTATTGACTAGGATTGGCTTAGTCAATAGTCGGTTGTTTTAGACAGTAATTAGATTAGCATATTTTAGTTGCCTCGAGTTTTAGGTTGTTTAAAATTAATGTGTGTGCTGTTTCGTGCAACGTCGTATTGAGTATCGCTTGCTTTGTGTCTGCCTTCATTGGGGCCTTAGCGGAGTGTGTTAACTTTAATGTTATCAATATAGATGTTGTTTATGTAAACCAATGGCTTCGGGCTTCCTTGTGTAGGAAAGATTGGTTCTACGATGAATTTGTTTACACGTTATTTTTAAGTTGCTAGTTCTTCTTTAGACAGTGGTTAGTTGTTTTTGAGAATTGCTTTTAGAATTGTATAGTAAGGATTAGTTTTACTCGAGGCTTTAGCTAGATAGAAGTAGTAGGTAGCATTTTGAACTTGTGTATATATTTATGTATATATCTGCCATTACCATGCACTTTTCTTATGTTTTCCTTTTCTTTTTCTCTCCCCCCCCCCCCTTCCAGTGAGGTTGCTTGTGCAACTTGGCTGGGTGTTTTGTTGTATATAAAGTGTTTTGTTATATATGAATTGTTTTGTTTGGTGTAAAAAGTTTGTTGTGTACGTATTGTTTTGTACGTAACGTATTGTAAGTAGTGGTTTTACGTAGTGTTTTGTTTGGTGTGTGACTTTTGGATGTCGAGAATGGATGAAGGGAGGTTTCTGTGTGTCAGGGCCTGGACCATCCTAGACATCATAAGTCGGTGCAACACCAGCAAATGGTCGAACGTAATGTTTTGTTTCGTTGAGTTCTGTTTGTTTTGTAGATTTATGTCTTGAGTGTTTTGTCTAGATCTAGATTCTGTTTTTTTTATAATAACTTTTGGTTCCATATTTATTATTTTGTTAAATAAATTTTATATTATTGTTAAAAGTTTTTGTTTTTTTATTTAGACTAAGGTTAGGTTATTAACCAGTCTGGGTTACCGGACTTGCACTGACCGGACAGTAGTTAAGTAGATAAGCCTAGGGAAGGGTAGGGTAGATTTTAAGGTATCCCCCCCTGGCAGGGCTTACAACTTGGTAGCACGAGTGGGGTCAGTGCTTTAGTCTAGTTAAATTTTTGTTTCTTACTAGGGCTAGTGTAGCTTAGTTAAATTTTTTGTTTTTGATAGGCCCTTTATGGAACCATATGTGTGTAGTTTGTGTGTAGTGTAGGGATTGTTTGTTGTTTAAACACCCAGTCAGGTTGGCGGAGAGACGTGCCTTGGTGAGCCTCCAGTGTGCTAGACGGGACAAGGCGCGGTGTGTTGCGCGTGATCTGGTGTGTGAGGCAGGCCTACAGCGAAGACCCCTTGACCCACAAAGAGGGCTACTGGACACCCGCCCCACAGGTGTGTCCAGTCGGACACACGATCATTGGGGGCGGGTAACAGTCGGAGAGCCAGTGGGGCAAGGCGGTTGCGTCACCACCTGGCCCAACCAAGCGGACGCTCCCCACCAACGAGAGGCCAATGACGTCAATTCCTTGACCCACAAAGAGGGCTACTGGACACCCGCCCCACAGGTGTGTCGAAGCGGAGGCACGATCGTTGGGGGCGGGTAACAGTCGGAGAGCCAGTGGTGAAAGGCGGTTGCGTCATCTCCGGACCAACCTAGCGGACGCTCCACCGGTGTGCCTACGGTGACGCAAGACCAGAACACGGTGCGTTGTGTAGTGGACCCAGGTGGACGGGATGGACAGGCAATGTGTGCCATTAGTAGCGGGCGGGTCTAGCCTGACCCTCCCCCCTTGCCCTTCCGGATGAATGACCGACAGGACTAGTAGCGCGAATCAGCCTTCAGTGAAGGGAGCACTATCTTGGTGCCTTGAGTTTTTTTAGGGAGCACAGAGACGCAAGATTAATGTTAATGGAAATTGTTTTTTGGCATTCAAGCTGATAGGCTTGGTGTAAGAGATGGGTGCATGTTTTATTTTAAGATTGTTATATGCATTTTTTTGTCTTACAGGGACTGTAAGATTTTTAAAAGGGGTGAATGTGAGCGGGTGAATGGATTATTTATTTTGTATTATTTTATTTGTTGCGAATCTGGGAGTGCATGGTGGTCCAATGGGGAACGACACGGAGTCCCCTTCCGTCCGAAGCGGTCAGTATAAACTGACCACTCGGATAATTTCTTCCTTTTTTTGACCGCCAGAATGTAGGTCAGGTCAGCTTCAGTGGTCGCGCTTTGTGCGTTGGAGGTATTTGTTTTTTTATACTTTATCTTTATGTGATTTGTATGAATGCGACTGTCGATGGTTCTCGTTTTCTTTCATTTTCGTCTAAAACGAGATAGTGAGCATCGGCATGTCTTGTATGCACGTGGTGTGTTATTTTGAATTAAAATGTATTTTTGGTGTTTTCTAAACCCGTGGCGTGTGTTTCGGACCACGTGGTTTAGGCCAGTGTGTTTAGGAGTGTTTCCTAAACTTGTGTGAATGCGTGTGTGCAATTACTTGATTTTTTATGATGTGTTGTTATTGACTAGGATTGGCTTAGTCAATAGTCGGTTGTTTTAGACAGTAATTAGATTAGCATATTTTAGTTGCCTCGAGTTTTAGGTTGTTTAAAATTAATGTGTGTGCTGTTTCGTGCAACGTCGTATTGAGTATCGCTTGCTTTGTGTCTGCCTTCATTGGGGCCTTAGCGGAGTGTGTTAACTTTAATGTTATCAATATAGATGTTGTTTATGTAAACCAATGGCTTCGGGCTTCCTTGTGTAGGAAAGATTGGTTCTACGATGAATTTGTTTACACGTTATTTTTAAGTTGCTAGTTCTTCTTTAGACAGTGGTTAGTTGTTTTTGAGAATTGCTTTTAGAATTGTATAGTAAGGATTAGTTTTACTCGAGGCTTTAGCTAGATAGAAGTAGTAGGTAGCATTTTGAACTTGTGTATATATTTATGTATATATCTGCCATTACCATGCACTTTTCTTATGTTTTCCTTTTCTTTTTCTCTCCCCCCCCCCCCCCCTTCCAGTGAGGTTGCTTGTGCAACTTGGCTGGGTGTTTTGTTGTATATAAAGTGTTTTGTTATATATGAATTGTTTTGTTTGGTGTAAAAAGTTTGTTGTGTACGTATTGTTTTGTACGTAACGTATTGTAAGTAGTGGTTTTACGTAGTGTTTTGTTTGGTGTGTGACTTTTGGATGTCGAGAATGGATGAAGGGAGGTTTCTGTGTGTCAGGGCCTGGACCATCCTAGACATCATAAGTCGGTGCAACACCAGCAAATGGTCGAACGTAATGTTTTGTTTCGTTGAGTTCTGTTTGTTTTGTAGATTTATGTCTTGAGTGTTTTGTCTAGATCTAGATTCTGTTTTTTTTATAATAACTTTTGGTTCCATATTTATTATTTTGTTAAATAAATGTTATATTATTGTTAAAAGTTTTTGTTTTTTTATTTAGACTAAGGTTAGGTTATTAACCAGTCTGGGTTACCGGACTTGCACTGACCGGACAGTAGTTAAGTAGATAAGCCTAGGGAAGGGTAGGGTAGATTTTAAGGTATCCCCCCCTGGCAGGGCTTACATATATATAATTCTCTTCTTGGAGACGTTAGAAAACACCAGCTGTAAGCGCGCTTAACAGGCCCCTCTCTTCCTCTCTAGGCATATCCCTACCACTCCCACCCCTACATGGTCTGGTGAGCTGTGGTTCACGCTAAATGTTTACAATCGTAGAGCCGGGTTTAGTGACGGCTATTAGGGCAGATAATTTATTTCGAAACTATTTTAAACTTAGGCGAGGTAACTAAGAGGAGGCTGCTTTCACGGGGGGGGGGGGTGTAGGGTAGGGGTTGGGGGAAAGAAGGGTGGAGGTATCGTCCTTAACGACCTACTGATAGTGTTTTAAAGAAAATATTTTCAGTGTCAGCATTGGTACTGTCGAATTCACAAATTATGAATTACTGAAAAGTAGAAAATAAAACAACTAAATAGCGGCGTATGATATGCCGCGGGTCGGCTTGTATTTTAATAGTTTTCAACTCATGGCCTTATTTTATATTTCAGCCAATGTCGAAAACGAAACTGAAATCGGATTTTCCCCTTAATATTTTTCGTCCTTGCTGATGTTTCCCGATTTGCAGATAACATAAATATAGCCAGAGCTGTCTAGACTGTAGGCGTAGGGTCTAAAGTCCATATTATGCTACAGGCTATTCATTTGTAATATTTATACAACACTTAACTGATTTAAATTATTTAATTAAATGATGGCACTAAGTCAGCAATCGAGGAAATACTTGCAACTCCTCGTTGTTTGTTTGCAAGAACAGCAAAGTGAGTTACAAGGTGTCTTAGATCAGTTCATCAAACAGGTAATTGTGATACCATCGAAATCAAACGACTGTTAAAAAATAACTAACTTGGTCTAAACATTGTTTACACTATGTAATTAATTCTCTCTATCATATGAATCTGTGCCTAATTTATATAGGTATAATAATTATGAATTGAATGGTATATTGTTAAACTGCCTAAATAAGTTTAAATATTATCATTGAGTGAATACATGTATCATTAATAGTCGAAATTTTTCATTTTCTACTTGATAGCAGTAGCGTAGCTAACGTAAAGCTAGCGACAGCGAGGCGTAGGGGCCCACGTTAGATGTTCCAAAAAGGCCCCCCAGTCCCCTCTTTACTGTACAGGCATTGGCATTCAATGTGTGCGTGGGGGGGGGGTAGACAACTAAGACCCTTAAGGCGCTACTAATCCTATAAATCTTTGAATTTTTTCCCACGTTTTCTTTAACTTGCTTTCGCGTCTGTTTGGTTCTCCAATCAAATCTTGCGATCGAAATTTTGGGCACTTCCCGGTTAGCTAGCGCCCTGAAATTTTCAGGGAAGCTTTGTTTCCGATGACCATAGAATATTCAATTGTTATTATTACTAAATTGATCCATGGAAACATTTTATTGATCATTTTAGGCCGCTATATAATTGTACAAAAACGTGGGGGGGAAAAGGGACATAACCCAGTAACTGTAATTTGATGAAAACAAGGCTCGGGACTCTCCCTCTTTTTGCTTACTGACTAGTGTTCACGCAGTGTTTGTGTACAAACAACCAGAACGTAACAACTGGTGGCCAGTATGGGGGAGACGATATGGTCGAGTTCTTGCACGTGGGGCGCCGTGATTTTCTTACAGTTTCAAATACAATAGTATTAGAAACTGTAAGAAAATCACGGCGCCCCACGTTTTTGATCGCTTATAGTAGAGTGATCGCTTGCATTATTGTGATGTATAACATTTATTTTCTACTTTTTAGTTCAATCAGAAAACGTGGGGTTTTTTTTTAACTTTTTTAATGATTATAATATTCAATCGCCAAGAAGAATTTCGGGAAGTCGTTGAGAATACCCCACATAGTGTTTTTTTGACATTATTTTCCGAAAACTTGAATGAAAAAAACTCTGGCATTTGGGAAAGTGTCTAGCATTATCTATATATATAATTCTCTTCTGGGAGCCGTTAGAAAACAAGCTGCAAGCGCCTCCTTGCAGTCCCCTCTCTTTCTCTCTATCACTATCACTACCACCCCCACCCCACCCCCACATTGTCTGGTGAGCTGTGGTTACGCTGTTTACATTTTACAATCATAGAGACGGGTTTGGTGACGGCTATTAGGGGCAGATAATTTAGTTTGAAACGATTTTGAACTTAGAGGAGGTAACTAAGAGGAGGCTGCTTTCACGTGGGGGGGGGGGGGGGGGTTAGTGTTTTTAAGCAAATATTTTCAGTGGCAGCATTGGTACTGTCGAATTCACAAATTATAAATTACTGAAAAGTAGAAGAAAAAAAACAACTAAATAGCGGCGTATGATACGCAGCGGGTCGGCTCGTTTTTTTTATTGCGGCTCCACGTTAATAAGGCGGTGCTGTTTCCCAGCGGCTATCTTTGCAACTTGGATCCGTTGATTGAAAGTCCGGCGCAGCGGTCAAATTCGCACAGGTGCCACAGCCGCCCCCCCCCCCCCCCCCCCCCCCCCAGTGCACCCTAGGCTCCCCGTGTGCTTTACGGCGACTATATTCGTTTTAATGAGCGCCATTTACTAAGGATACGGTGTGCTATTAAAATCGATAACTAAATCGAATAAGGGGTGTCCTCCAGCGCACCAGCAGTAGTAAAGGTTGGGCGCCCCAAATCGCAGGGGTACTAGTAATTCAAAGATTAAACTGCAACAGGGGCTGCCTTCGGCGCCCCCGGCTTACGGATAACACCAAGCATAGGAGCACCCTACGGTGAGCCTCTATGCTCGATGATTAAACAGAACCTGGGGTGGCATCCGGCTAGTGTAACACGTCACTAGCGTGACACCCTTTGGCGGTCGCTAAAACGTATTCAACCTCATTTTTTTTGCATAGGTGCCCGAAAATCCTAGCTACGCCACTGCGTGATATTTGCTACATATACTTTCACCTCAAGAAATGTTCATTGTCTCTGTTAGGGCATGTTTGCCAAAATACATCATTTACCACAAAAAACAAATACAAAAAAAAAAAGCTTACGATTGATTTACATACATTACTATAGTGTAGGTTACTGTAAAAACAAACTTAAACAGGCTTGTGATAATAGGCTAATGATTTGATTTCGATTATTATTTTTGTAACCTATTTTTTAAAAATACTTGTCATGTTTATTTTACTAAATATTCTCACGAAATGTTTTTATTTTATGCTGAAAATTTTCTAATTTTTTAGCGCAATTTCCATTCTGGAGAATTGCGTTTATTAACTCGTCATTTCTGGGAATGGATGGATGAATGAATGGATGAATATATGAATGTATGGATGAATGTGTGTCCGGGCTTTAAGTCGTATCTTCTTCTCAACGAAGAAATATCGATGACTAGTTCCAAAAGCAATTATGTTAAGCAAGTTACGAGGATGAACATAGGCCATAAAAATTACGGGTTTCTTTCATGGATTTCCCGGAAAAGCCAAAAAACCTCGAAAAATGCAGTTTTTGGCCCATATCTTGGCAACCAGACCACTAAGCGACTTGAAACATGTACCAATCGATTTCTGCCATAATTTAGAACAATATTGCCGAAGAAAGTTTTCAAAAATATCCTTTCGTTCGGTCACAAAAAAAATTTTGTATTAATTAAAATTTGGACCGAATTAGTAGGCATTTTTTCCAACCACACCACACGCGTCATCACGTTCAATAGCTGCGCCATCGCGTTCCATGGCTGCGCCATCACGTTCAGTAGGCGCGCAATGGTTTTTAGTCATGTAACTCTATTGTAAATAAAACATGTAAAATACTGAAAAAAATTAATAAAAAACGTTTTAATAACTAACCAATGGTTTTACTAACCCTGCTCTTGATTTAAGCTACGACAGAGCTATTTTTAGATAACATAAGGAAATTGCGCTAAAATTGTCACTAGACTTTTTAATTACCTTGTTTATGTTTGTGTAAAAAGTATGCACATTTATTTTTCACATCTTCCTAACCTTTGGTAGATAAAAACAATACACTTTGTTCAAAGCCTAAATATATGTACTTGATTAAAATGCTGCTTGCTAACAACAAATCAATAATGTAACAGTAGTCTACTTGATCATAACGGAATATTTAATGCACCATTTTAACCATAAAGACAGTCACAAAAGCTAGAAGCTGGATAGAGGCACCAGACCAAGGCAACATGTCATTTAGTGACATCCATGTCATGCTTTCAGGAGCCAGTGGAAAATTGTTGGAAACTATAAACTTTTATACAGGTCAGACATATGCTTAGTTGTCATCTCTAAAATCTATAGCTTTTCTAACGGGAATAATATAAAAGATTATATCAAAAGCTTAAACCATATTAAAAAAATTCTTTCATTAGTTGCAATTGTATGTAAATGGTTTATTTAGATATAAAAATATTCTTCTTAAAGTTTTCTACCTATCTAATAGGTTTATTGTTAAAATCAATGATACAGTTAAGCTAAAGTGTTGATAAAGCATAGTTGAATGTGCAATCTTTACTGATATTTTATCTGTTAAAAGTTAAATACGCCTTTTATATATATACATAGCCTAGTAAATAAAGTATGTCTACAAAAATATATTACACTACTGGCCTTAATTTTTCCTGTTATTGAAATTAAATGTTTTCTAGACAGCACAATAAATCTAACATATGAATCTGTGTTTTCAGGAACATCAGCACAATTGAAGTCTCCTACAAAACAGTATGAAAAGCCCTCTGTAACACTAAATGAATCAGCTTATTCAAGTAAACGCAGTATCGTATATATATATATATATATATATATATATATATATATATATATATATATATATATATATATATATATATATATAATATGTGTGTGTGTGTGACTTTAAAAAATACTTAAATGCTGCAGTTTTAAAAAGCTTTGTTAAAGAACTGTTGAAACAATAATGTTAAATGACTTAAGTTTTGATATTTGAATTAGTAAAATGAAAAAGTTGAGCTTGGTTTAATTGTTCAGAAGATAAACACTTTTACTTTAAGATGTGAGGTGCAAATTATGAAAGAAATTCAAAAAAATTTAAACAACTTAAACTTTTGTTTTTTTCTTCTCATTCCAAAATTACAACTTAGATGAAGAAATGAATTCAAGGCTTGTAGCCTTAGAAGATTTCATTTCTGGTTTAAAACAAGCAAAATTGGAAAGCAAAGAAGAAGGTTATGAAATGAAGCAGTGGAAGGAAGCTGTGACAACACAACAACAGGAGATGGAGGCCAGGGTAGAAAACTTTATAAAAAAACAAATTGCTCAAACAAAACTGTTTTCAAAGCAAATTAAAGAATTTAATAAAAACATAACTAAAATAACACAAGAAATAAGAGCTTTAAAAAACAATGAAGTAGATATGTTCAGTAAATTGAAAACAAATACAAAATCTTTAGAGAATTGTGAGACAAATCTGGCACACTTGAATTCTGGGTTAAATATAATCCAGAATAAAATTGATAACAATAAGGATGACATGTTAAAGTTAACAGAATTAACCGGCAAATCTAAAGAAAACCAATCTCAGGCCCTGCTGAATATTGAAAAAGATTTGGAAAAATTAGAAGTAAAGGTATGTTAGTAGAATTATAATCAAACAGTTACAAAAATGGTTTACATTAAATATGCATTAAATGAAAAAGTGCTAGAAAAGTAATTTTACTCTTAGTCAATTCCAATAATTCTAACTTTTATTGTTTTTTTACTATCCTTATATTATTTTTTCCAACACTTCAATGTAGCTAATTAAAATTTAAGTGCCACACTTAATAAAATAATAAAACACTATCATTTTTAAATGTAAAAATATATTTTAAAAACAGTAAAATATCTGAATTATTAAAAAAATATCAATAAAATATCAGCTCTGTTTATAAGATTAGTAGGCCTACTTTTCAATACTATTTTTAGTATGGTGTTGTCACCAATATTCTGCTACAAAGATTGATGCCCATTGAAAAGCTGCTTCAAGTCATTAATACTCAAGAAGTTGCTAGAGCAGAAAAATGCAAAGAGGTAAATATTGCAATCTGATTTTTAACTTACTAGAAAGATGATAAACAGAATCATTTTATCTTTAAGTTAAAAATGAGGGAAAAGTAGCAGATTCAAAATTAATTCACAGTAGCATATCTCTTTGATAGTTTCGTGGATTACAAGATGATGTGGCCACATTGAAAGCAGAGGTTTTAGCACTCAGTAAGTCAAATCAATACAAAGTTTACCAATCAAGGGTGGTAAATTATTTAAGCCAGGTGTTTTCAAGCTTAAATGCATAAACAATACATTTTTTATGGTAATAAATATATTTATGTTTCTGTAATATTAGCAACGTTAAGTTTAATGTGTAATGTTATTATTTTATTTATAGGTAAGTAATAGAAAAAAAGGTATATTGAGCTAAACCCAAAGTTTTATCTTTTTTTACAGATCTAAAAACACAGCGAAATGCCAATGTAATAGGATTTTCAGCTTCATTTCGGAACAATGTACCACTAGTTAAAAACTGTTATTGCTATCTTCTAAATTTCGATGATGTTACCTTAAACTCAGGAAACCATTTTAACCCAGCCACTGGAAAGTTCACTGCTCCTGTTGATGGCCTCTATGCTGCTAGTTTTTGTCTTCATCAATGCAATGATGGTGTAATTGATGTGCGAATATACCATACACTTAATGTCTTCAATACAAACTCAGTTAGCATGTCCAAAACAACAAGGGAAAATTCAACAGGTGTATGCAGTACTGCTGTCTTAATGAAGAAGGGTGAATTTTTATCTTTAGCAATTAAAGGTGAAGGGAACGCTTCCTTGTCATATTATTCTCAATTCACTTGTTTTCTCATAAGTACTTAACAGTTGTAAAAAGGAAGCGTTAGCTTCTTTTAAAATCATTTTACAAAAAGCTACAGTCGTTTATGATTTACTATCATGTTTAATGGATTTGAATTTTACTTAAGTTATTAGAAACACTTGTGGGACGGCCTGGCCTAGTGGTAGAGCGCTAGACTACTAACCCGAGAGTCTCGAGTTTAAGTCATTGGAACGTCACTAAGTCCACCCAGCTCACGTTTGGGAAAGTAAAGGTGGGTGGACATTTGAAAAATTCATATTTAACAAAAAGAATCATGAATCAGATAAGAAAATTGTAGAATTTGTGATTGCTTTACGCAGATTGATGAAATCGTAAAATGTTTTGAACATGTGTCAGAATCATTTTTGAGAGATAGAATAGTGTTAGGGACAATGAGAAGAGAGGATTTTTACAGCTTACATTGAAAGCAAGTATAGAATGTGTAAGGTTACTGAAGCAAAAGTACGAATTATCAAATGTTGAGCATTTTATGTGGAAGATAGTCAGATAAAGTTACAGACGTGTGTGCTGTGTCAGATACGGGCAACAGTAAATACAGTCTGAGAGGGGGGGTATATTCTGGACACAATCACACGATGTGTAAAGGAACTATGTCCGACATGGGGGAAGAATTTGTAACGAATGTTGAAAGAGGAAACTATTTTTCAGGAAAAATGCAATGTGAAGAAGATAAAGTATGTAGACAGTTTAGTTAAGGACTGTTGTTGCTTGGTATCAGGTGAATAAATGATGTTTGGTAGACAATATATAATGATCAAAGCTGATATGTTGTTATGTGCCGTGTGAGTGTGATCAGAGCTGTATTGTTTGAGTAAAGTAATGAAGTTAACTTAAAGGATTGTTCTGTTTATTTTGAGTGAGAGGAAACTAGTAATGTAACACACACTGGTAAACAAAATGTGTTTTGTCCACTGAAACATGAATGATAACACAACAAAAAACACAATATTGAAACATTATTTACACATCCGAAAGGATAAAAGTGGAAGTACATAGCATAAAATATAATGTGTTAGTCTATTTTCTTTTAATAAGGAACAATAGTGTTTTATAAATAAAACTAGGCCCTACTTATTTGGAATCTGTTTGTTGAGATGTGATTAACTTTATTGCTTTGATTTTGTATTTTGTTGTTTAAAAATAAAAATATTTGATCACTATACCTGGACAGAATTTTTATTTTCTATTCTTTTCATTGAGATATTAATCAATGAAAAATTGAAATATATAAGTATATGACAGAGTAGGCATTAAAAGAGACAAAGTGAATCTGTCAATCAGTTTATATTTTTGTCAACCCTGTTGGGGCTCTGTGTGACTACTTGATATAAACTACTCAGTGGAATGTTGCTCGTCAGAAGAATCAAGACAATTGTTCTTCAGGTTTTTTAAAGCGGAGGTTGCACTTGAAATTTCCGGGTAGCGCACTTAAATTTTCGGTGGTCGGAAATTAGTTAAAAGTTATATTTTCTATTTAAACTATATACATTTTATATTTCGCCAGATAAGGAATGGACTAAGCAGAAGTTTAACTTAAAGCTGTATCTACCACAGTATATATAGTGTATAGTGTTCAGTTCTATGTCTAGTCGTGTTTAATACCACATCATTATATAGTAATATATAGATCTACCTATTTCAAAGGAAGCTGAAGTTATAGTGAATAAATTTAAAATGAAAAATAAAACAGTTGAAATTTATTCAAAGTAAAATCCAATTATAATTTCAATGATTGTATTCATGATCAGCCTATGTTATGGAATAACAATACGGCCTTTTAAAGTTAATAATAACTGCACTGTTGACCAGTGTGATTGACAAACTTCTCACTGTAAAATGCGCATCGTGCAACAATGCACAACGCACCGCTTTACACCAGTACAGGAAGGATGCAGTATTTTATAAATATGATTTGTTTGATAAGGAAATCAAATTTCCACGAAATTTAAAGCAATAGCAATATGAAAGTGTAAAATGTTTCAAGGAGACTACTTTAATACTGTATGTGCAATATTATTTCAATAAATAAGCTTATGCCTACAGGTCTACATTTTATCAGATACAAAAAGGTCTATTATTTGGCACTTCTGTCGACATTAAGATATAGATCTAGATCTAGATCTAGATTCTAGATCTTTGTGGTAGATATTATGATCGTTTTGCGATGATTAAAAATCAAGCCAACAAAAGACTTTCATACAATTGGCGTATTACTAGATTAAAATACGTTGGTAGAAAAAAATTACATGCAAAACCCCCTCTGAAAACCCTTCACGCGCACATAATATCTCTGCATTATAACACGCCCAAAACCAACTTCCAAACTTTGCCCACATACAATGTTATCTACACTACCTCCTCAAGGCTGCACAACTACAATAATTATGTTAATTTTTATTGATACAATTGACTTTGCTATATTGATTAAAACAAATTACATCATTTTTTAATAGAATTATTAATCCTAAAATAAAAAATAAAATTCAGAAACAGATTTTAATATAGTGTTACACGTGTAAATATATTATGATTATGTACATATTTCCTAGAGCTTTTTCTTGCAGGCAGTTGTGTATGTGGCTTTGCTGTCCAAATATCTTGTGCAAGGTTAGTTTAATTGCTAGAAAGACTAGCTAATGTTCAATTTATGTTCTAGGGAGCCTAAATACTTATTTATATACAATATAGGCCTATTTTTTGTTTAAAATTTAAAGAGACCAACAGTCGATGGACACTTTGGTCGACTCTAAAATTAACCTGCGGGTAAGCTAACAAGGCTCTAAATTATTTATTTCTTGCTTTTGATTTTATCTGACAAAAGCAAAAAGCGTTATAGTCTTGTCTAGTGATGATTAAAACTCCACGCGCATAGTGCTAACATGGTAATTCTTCTCTGTCCTCTACCAAACAACATGACCACTTTGTCTTCCACTAACCGACGCTGCCTCACTAACTGCCCCACAATGCCCTTCCAGCTCTGCCCTCCACCACACTGGGCGACTACTTTGTCGTCAAGGTACCTGCACTGCCCGAGGGTAGCACCGCCGTGTCCCACGTCATCAGCCCATTCATCGAGTGCACCGAGGTCACCCAGACGGTCACCTACACGACACAAACCGACACGACACAAGTCGAAAGGACGACAGAACGTGTTGACCAGCTGTGGGTCACCTTCTTTGATATACCCATACATTTATTTAGGTGAGATACACAGGGAAACGGTTTTAAAAGTCCTAAGTATATATATATATATATATATATATATATATATATATATATATATATATATATATGGCCTATATAATATATATCTTTTGAAAAATATATGTATACATATTGCACATTGTAGATTATATGAATATTTATAATATTACAATATTATATTGGTTTATTATTTAAATATAATAAATTAATTAATACAATTATGATGTAATATAAATTATAGTAATGACTGTATTATTCTATATTTTAATCCATAATTATAATAATGTAAAAGTAAGTATAGTATAACATATAATTATTTACAATAATAATTTTCCCCTATAGAAGAGACGAGGAACAGGAATCTGGAGTTACTGTGTACAGAGGCAATGGTCAGTTTACATTGGATGTTTTCTTATCTTTAGCTGCAAGTGGCTGGACAGATTTTATACACTGTATCCCAGTCAGTGGGTTTGGTCTTGAGTACTTCATCTTTACACTGAGGTAAGTTGTGTGTGTAGAATACTTCATCATCAAGTTTTATATCACTGCACTTTACTTTACTTTTAAGGCAAGCTGTTTGTTTAAAGTGTTTAATTGAAATTTTATTGAAATCTGAAATCGAAAGTTAACAGCATTACTGTGTTTCCAAATGCCATTTTTTACAACTTGGCAAAGAGAGACAAATTAGAAAGCTACTGAAATCAGTATACAAAACCCGAATCGATGTTAATTTAGTGAAGTAATGTTTGTACCCCCTCTACTCCAGCCAGTTCCCCACCTACACTCTACTCTCTGGCGACGAACCAGCGAATGTCAGGGCATCAAGTCGAGGATTGCCGGACAGATTTGTACGAATGGGCAGGTAATTTATACAAGCAAGATATTTTTTCACTAATTTTAAACAGATGTCAAATTAATTTAAAAAAAAATAAAACTCGTAAATTGCCTTCTATGTAAACCAGTATAAGAAATATTTTCTAGTTGCGATTTTAGCGATTACTTAGGGCAAGTGTTTTCTACGATCCTATGAGATTTCAAAACTGCAGTAAGTAAAGCACGAGACCAATAAAGTGAGATATTTTGTGTTATTTAACCACTGTAAGCAGTCTTTTTGTCTTCTGGTGTTATGATGTTAAGCTACAGTAAACATAATTGCTAGCTTGTGTTGTTTACGATATTGAAACAATGTATTCCGACTGGTTATTTTTTATGTGATGTTTACACAGGGAACAGGCCCACACTTTCGCTAATTGTCCCACGGCGATTGAGTCCCCCGATGAATTAGAAGGTTTGTATTTGTTGCAGAGGCGTAGCGAGAGGGGGGGGGGGTGGGGGTGGGTGATGCGGACCGCGACGGGGGGCACCATTTAGGGGAGTGACACCAAGGCAAAAAATTGCAAAATATATAGAGAAAAACTTGAGGGGGGGGGGGTGTGCAAATCGAACGTGCAAATTAAGTGCCGCACCGGGTGACACCCGACCTCGCTACGCCACTGATTTGTTGATCTGTTTTGTGTAATCTATAGGCCAGCACGGTGGCTGATTATTTTAGAGGTGTTGTTTCAGTTTAACTGTTATACACTAGTTCAAATTTGAACTATTCTCCATGTACGTACCGCTAGCTTTGATTTAACCAAGCTCAATAACAAATATTATAGGCAGTTTTAAGAAGTTAGGTTCGATGTTACACCAAGCGCTTTACTAAAATCCAATGATTTCACCCAAATCCAATAATTTCACTCTAAACCAATGATTATACATTAATGCTCACTCAAATCCAATGATTATAGCGTTAGTGAAGTGTTACTAAGTAACAATTCAGAGAACAGTGATGAACTGTTTTCAATATTTAATTTGTCATATACTTTAGGTCTATGTTTGTATCATACGAAGTGTTGTATATTATTATTCAAGTCCATGGTTGACAACCTAAGAAAGTAAAAGCTCAATTTTCTAAGCTGTTTATTTATTTTTTTTTAGCATTCAATGCTATTATTATACAATAAGCAATATCTTATCAAAGCTAAGAGATTACTGTTTTAATCAGTGTTTTTAACAAAACTTATTGATAGGTACTTTAATCAGTACTTGAAGGTTAGTACTTTAATTAGTACTTTGTTGAAGGTTCGTACTTTAATCAGTACTTTGTTGAAGGCTAGAGTTTGGTAATTTATGTATTGTTTTACTGAACCAACTTATTGAAACCCCAAGCAAGATATTGACCTGAGCCTGATGACTTGACCTGGTTAAGTGTAGGTCGTGACCTTGACCTAAGCCTGATGACCTGACCTTGTCAAGTGTACGTGTGCTTGACCTATATTTTCTCACCTCACCCAGAGCTCCACCTGACGAGTGACCGACCTATTGGTGTCATCGCCGGCAGCTGTCGCTCCACTGGGGTCACCTCCCATCTCTGTCACAACCCGCCGAGGACAAATTTTATTTTTGGCAAGTATTGGCTGATGGTCCTGTCACCCCCCCCCCCCCCACCCACCCTCCCTCCCCCACAAATTTTATTTTTGGCAAGTATTGGCTGATGGTCCTGTCACCCCCCCCCCCCCCCCCACCCTCCCTCCCTCCCCCACAAATTTTATTTTTGGCAAGTATTGGCTGATGGTCCTGTCACCCCCCCCCCACCCTCCCTCCCTCCCCCACAAATTTTATTTTTGGCAAGTATTGGCTGATGCTCCTGTCACCCCCCCCCCTCCTCCACAAATTTTATTTTTGGCAAGTATTGGCTGACGGTCCTGTCACCCCCCCCCCCCCTCCCTCCCACACAAATTTTATTTTTGGCAAGTATTGGCTGATGTTCCTGTAACATAGTTTTAAACTACGAATATAGAGTAAGTCATTGTCTCGCAGTTTGAGATTTTGTTTTCATCGTAACATATAACAAAATTTTTGCTCACACCCAAATTTTCAAATGCCAATCGCCATTAAAGATTTTTTTTTAAATCTGCAAAAATAACAACACATTTAAAAAAGAGCACAAACAAATCGATAATAAAACCACTATTAAAGCCTTTTTTAGAGCACGGATTGTAAATTTAAATATAGCCAAATAGATGGGAATTTGAACAGTATGTTTTTAAGGACGTATGATTATAATTGAAAAACTATAGTGTTTGCGTGGTGAAAGTGTAGGTGGTTTACAGTAAATATTTTAATTCCGCTCAGTCACATAGTTTTCATTAATGTCATAATCTACATACTACCCTTCTAAACAATATGTATTCAGTAATGTCATAATCTACATACTACCTTCTAAACACTATGTATTCAGTAATGTCATCATCTGCATACGATCTCTTTCAAATGCTATTTAGTCACATCACCTTCTCCATATGACCTTTATCATGTGCACTTAAAATTCAGTCATGAAACCATCTTCATATTACCCGAAGTACTCTCTGATCCTATAGCAATGTAACACTGCATACTAGCCCCACCAACCACTAAGTATTTAGTCATGTGACCATCCCCATCCGACCCCTAATACCCCCTGACTATTAAATCATGTAACCATCTCCATTTGACCCCTTAAGACCCCCTGACTAATCAATCATGTAACCATCTACATACGACCCCCTACGACCCCCTACGACCTCCAGTCATGTAACCATCTACATACGACCCCCTACGACTCCCTACGACCCCCTACGACCCCCTACAAACCTCTACGACCCCCTACGACCTCTTACGACCCCCTACGACCCCCTATGACCCCCTACGACCCCCTACGACCTCTTACGACCCCCTACGACCCCCTATGACCCCCTACGACCCCCTACGACCTCTTACGACCCCCTACGACTCCCTATGACCCTCTCCGACCCCCTACGACCCCCTACACACCCTGTGACCCCCTACGACCCCCTACCATATTTCCAGACATGCTGCCCCCCGTGGAGAGCTACGGCAAAAGTTTTCTGCTCCCAAATCCCGTCGTGCCCGGGTCCTACCGGATCATCATCGTCGTGTCCTCTCAGGACAACACGCGCGTGGAGATCGCCACGTCATACTTTCAGGACAGCACTATGATAGAACTGGATAGAGCTGGACAGCCGAGGAATGTAAGTATTGATTGTTTGTACGTCATATATTCAGGAAAGTTAGTTAATAACAGTATTGAACGTTTGTACGTCATATTTTCAGGACAGTATGTAAATGTCAGTATTGAATGTTTGTACGTAGTATTTACAAGACAGTAATGTCAGTATTGAATGTTTGTACGTAGTATTTACAAGACAGTAATGTCAGTATTGAATGTTTGTACGTCATATTTTCAGGACAGTCTGCTTTCAATGTCAGCATTGAACGTTCAGTGAAATCAAAAATTCTATTATTTTTAAGTTGTATAAGTAACGCCGATAAGTATATATCACTATAGTGAAAATGAGTAATGACCATAAATTAACACATTTCAGAATAAGTATACACGAGAAATCATTAAGATATCGTTATTGTAGAATAAATACTTTGAAATTTCAAGTATTTAGTTATTGTGTCTACCTTGATAAGTCATACAGTTGTTTTTTTGTGTTTTTTTAAAATCGGGTTGAAGTAGCCTATGCCATTTTATTTGGGCATAATTTTTCTATAAAATATAATATTGGGATATCACTGGAAATCTGTCTTCTTCCGTCGCATATCTATTATCCAATAAGTCTCAAAACATCGAAACGTACGTTATGTTACAATTGTTAATAGAGTATAACCCATTTTACAAATAGACACATGAAAATAGAGCAAGACATAGTTGAGTGAAGTAGAGTTCTCCACTCGGCAGATTGAGAAAAAAGGCGCGCGACTACTGGAGGCCGACAAGCCTATCGTCTGCTTCTTGCTACTGCAGGGATCGTGTGGGCATCCAGAGGTTGGACTGTCAATGACCATCGTGGTGCCGACCTTCCTCTTTTACAATCTTTACTTATGGAAGTAAGTGGAAACTGGTCACACATCCAATGCATCATTGGGACAAAAGGCTTAAGACACACTAACACACACACACACACACACGCACGCACACACGCACGCACGCACGCACGCACACACACACACACACACATACATATATATGTATATATATATATATATATATATATATATATATATATATATATATATATATATATATATATATATATATATATATATATATATCTAGCGTACCCGTCCCCCGCGCGTTGCCGCGGGGATAGAAGAAAGTTTGACGAAATGTATTAGAAGGATTTCACCAACGCGTTACCAATCATATGTTCTTAGACGCGTGGCCGTTTTTTCTAAAAGTGAGTTCTTTTAAAAAAAAAACAATGCCTGCGCTTCTATCATAAATATCGGGACACGGGTTTACCTACACTACCGCATGAAAACATTGAGTGTACATTAATCACTCACCGAAATAATATGGTAGAACAAACTTCGGTGACCGCCTCTGTGTCAGAGACGTAGAGGGGCGCTCTCAGGGCCCACACCCTCCCCCCGATTACACTACCGCATAGGCGCGGCGTACTACCCCTGGCTCCTTAAAACTAACAGGCGCCATCGGCCAAATAGCATCCTGTTAATAATGATGCAGATTTCGTCATTCGCTAATGTGACACAAATGATCAGGATTTTTTTCTTTAACACGTAAAAAAATTATTTGACGTGTTTTAAATATCAGTGTGACTGATGCAATATGCTAGCGTTACTAATGGTCTATTATTAGATGCTCGGTCTCAATTTCGGTCTGGATTGTCTAATAATAGATGCTTATTGCATCATTCGCAAAGTGACGAAACTCTACAGTAGGCTCCTCATATTCAAACAGTTATTTTTTTCATCTTTCGCAAGGTGACGAAACTGTACAGAAGGATTTCCTCGCGTTACAAAGTTATTTTTATAAGCCTGTTGTAGTTTTACCGCTGAATATAGTAGTACCCCTTACTCGCTATGCAGGACGCTCGATTAACGGATGCCAAGTGCCAACTTAGGCACTCTAAAACTCTGGGCGCCAAACCGTGTATTGACGAAAGTTGTACCCTATATAGCGCCGCCCGTAAGAAACTTTAGTTTTCTTTTTCGCAGAAATATTCTCGGGAGTATTCTCATCTACTCCCTAAAGTTTCATGGCACTCGGATGAACCGCATCCGAGTTTTATTTTTTATATACCGTGTATAGAGAAAAAAAATCGCTCCCCTCCCCGGGGGCGCCGCCCTTGCAATATTAAAAAATATATTTTTTTGCAGAACCCTACCATAGAGTGATCTAATCATCTCCCCAAAGTTTCATGGTACACGGATGAACGGTGTGAAAGCGAAATAGACTTTTATTTTTATAAACCGTATATAGGGAAAAATCGCAGCCTCCCGTGGCGCCGCCCTTGCGAAATTAAAAGTACTTTTTTACAGAACCATTCCCTAGAGTTTTATAATGAACTCCCCAAAGTTTCATGCCTATCGGATGAACGGTGTCACTGCAATTCACTTTTATTATTTTTATATACCGTATATAGAGAAAAATCGGACCCTCCCGTGGCGCCGCCCTTGCGAAATTAAACATTATTTTTTACAGAACCCTTCCCTAGAGAAATGAACTCCCCAAAGTCTCATGGCTATCGGATGAACGATGCTAGACCAAAATCGACTTTTATTTTTATATACCGTATATAGAGAAAAATCGGACCCTCCCGTGGCGCCGCCCTTGCGAAATTAAAAATTATTTTTTTACAGAACCCTTCCCTAGAGTGGTATAATGAACTCCCCAAAGTCTCATGGCTATCGGATGAACGATGCCAAAGCAAAATCGACTTTTATTTTTATATACGGTATATAGAGAAAAAAAATCGCGCCCTGACGGGGCGCCACCCCTACGAATTTGAAAATGATTTTTGCGCAAAAACCTCCCCAGGAGTATTCTCAACATCTTACCAAAGTTTCATGGCGATCGTAAGAATGGTGTCACTGCAGTTCACTTTTTTTTTTTATATACCGTATATAGAGAAAAATCGCACCCTCCACTGGCGCCGCCCTTGCGAAATTAAAAATTATTTTTTTACAGAACCCTTCCCTAGAGTGGTATAATGAACTCCCCAAAGTCTCATGGCTATCGGATGAACAGTGGGAAATCAAAATAGACTTTTATTTTTATATACCGTATATAGAGAAAAACAAATCGCGCCCTGCCGGGGCGCCACCCCTGCGAATTTGAAATTTTTTTTTTCGCAGAAACCTCCCCAGGAATATTCTCAACAACTTCCCAAAGTTTCACGGCGATGTGATGAGAGGTGTAGTAATGCATAAAGGACACACAGACACACACACATACATTGCTTTATATATATATATATATATATATATATATATATATATATATATATATATATATATATATATATATATATATATATATATGCGCTTATACTAGATATGTGCAGTAAGTTATGTAGACTGATCTTAATTGAACGAAACAAACATATTAACAGACACAATGAGTCAAATACATTTATCCAACATAAAACTACAGACACATTAAATATATTTTGATACACAATTTGAATGAACTCTTCCAGTTCGATGTTTCCGTCCATCAAAAATTTGAAGGTCTACCTGTTGTTGATGGCTAGAGGTGATGATATACCTTATGTGCGTGTAGAAGGGAAGCTAGTTAGGTATGTTGTTGGTTGCTAAGGGTGATGATATACCTTATGTGCGTGTAGAAGGGAAGCTAGTTAGGTATGTTGTTGATGGCTAGAGGTGATGATATACCTTATGTGCGTGTAGAAGGGAAGCTAGTTAGGTATGTTGTTGGTTGCTAGGGGTAATTCATGACTTAGGTGATTGCTCCAAATATGTATGTTGACTCAGCAATATCACATGACATTGTTCCAAATATTAATGCTGACTCAGCAATATCACATTGATCCAAATATTTATGCTGACTCAGCAATATCACATGTGATTGTTCCAGAGGCTGGGTGTGGAAGAGCATCTTGGGTGACCGTTCTTGGCAGACGGTGAACCATCAGATCGAGGAAGACGTTGGCTACGCCTATCTGCAGGGCCGGTCTCACGGGTTCGGCTGTTATGTTTACTGTTTTCAAAGCAACTTGAGATACATTCAAACCAGAGGCTTCATCATTTCACGTGTAAGACATCTACTTTAGATTATATCTACTTCAACTTTTTCCATATTTCAGGAACCATTTTTTTTACCAGAGGCTTTCTCGTTCTCTATATATCAAAATATTTTTGTTCGTACGTAAATGTAACTGCTGTCTTTAGTTCCTAACCCGGCTGTTTTAGGCGCCCTTTGTTACGCGCCTACCATGGGGTGCCAGTCAAACGCCAAAGGGTCACAAAGCGCCACGTAATGTGACGTAATCCTTCATGTTTCGCTGCATTGTTCTTCTCCACTAGCCTCTGAATTAATAAAAATAAAATTAATTAAATCAAAATCATATGCGTGTATGTATTATACAAAGTTGTATAAACTATAAAATTAACAGTATTGCCTTGTGAAGATGTAAAAATGAAAGAATTGCATGGTGTAGCCATAAAAATTAATGTATTTCCTGTGTAGCCATAAAAATTAATGTATTGCCTTATGACGATGTAAAAATGAAAGTGTTGCCTTTTGTAGGTGAAAGATTGTACCAAGACCATACAACTGATGAATGAATCAGACCTAGTGGACAATGACTGTGATTTTCATTTTGATGAGGAGATTTTCAACCGAATGGGTAAGGGATATGTTATTTCATGTTTCAATCTTAGTTTATGTATTTACTATTTTTTGACCGTTGATTACAGTAAAATGTGAACATGAATCATTACTACTTGTGTCTAGGACATTACCACCCCCCTTCCGTCAATTACTCCGGGGATTAATGTCGTCGGGGGAAGGGGGGGGGATAATTGACATGGGAGTAATGTCCCGTTGCCTTGCTACCCACATACAACTAACGAAAAACACTTATAATTATTATTATTTTTAATATTGAGGTTTAACACACAGAAAAAGATTTATTGTACTTTTCCTGAGAAGTATTAAACTAGATGGTACACTTTCATTGTAAATATTTTTGTCGTATAAATATTCTATAGATGATGATAACGATGGATTAGTTGATGAAGATATACAGGCCAATATGATAGGTTCGTATTCACTTTTTATAAAAAAATTTGAAGTGATTTGAATAATTTATCATTTACAGCTTTGTTGAATCAGTAATGTTTATAGTCAATGGCTAGTGATGGTAGCGATATGTTACATAACAACATCATTAATCTATCAGAGAGTATCACTACTACGGGAAAACATGACAAAATAAGCACTAAATGACTCATGTCTGCTTGATGCAATTCTTAGCTACAGCAACGTATGTTTAACTAGCTACACGCAGACTACCACATATATACACGTGTATGCATACAACACATATAGCGTAGATGTCTAGGTCTTTAGTCAGCGACGGCGTCATTTTGTCCAGCCACTAAATATTTGACCACGATGATGATGTGTTCAGTGATTACCACGATGATGTGTTAAAAAATTAATACGATGATGAGTATTCAGTGATAACATATATGATGTGTATACAGTAATTATCACGATGGTGTTTTTTCAGTGATTACCACGATTATGTGTGTAAAGTGATTACCACGATAATCAATAATTAACATACACGTTATAAAAATATCTGGTTAACATAACTCTATAGTCATCTAACATATATAGACACCATAACAACATCACTTCAGTGTTGTATGTAGACAAAATCACGATGAAATCTATGACTACTTGACTAAGTAGGCCTACAAAGACAATAGAACGTAACTACAACAGTGACTATGTTATTTGTTAGACCTGGTATATGTTTTGCCACCACTCGAAACACAATAATTTTTTTTCTTCTGACAGTGGACGGCCAGTGGGGAGAGTGGAACCCATGGGAGTGTGAGGCGCCCTGTGGGGTGTCGCCCTTCATAGCTCGCAGGTAACTTGGTGGTACATGTAAACGGCGCCCTTTGGGGTGTCACCCTTCATATCTTAGCTTGTACATCTCTGAATTTCCCTTAATTAATTTTAATTGACGTTTAAATATATTAAAAACTTGGCATCATTTTGGAAATATACTACCTAGTTATTTACTAAATAGAGCAAGAATTCTTTTATAAAAAACCAGAAATGTGAAAAGAAAGTACTGGTGGTGATTGAGCAATATGTGTTAGTTGTTGACATCTAAAACCAACCTGACAGCATGGCCATTAGGAACCTACATTTTCCTTACCTCTCTATTGTCCCTTGCACACTTGGTTCAGACGATATAGTCACGCATTGCACTCCAATACCGGACTGGATATGGGAAGTAAACGGGGGGGGGGGGGGAATCATCTTGATCGGTGGGAGACTGATAACTGTTTTTTCCAATTCTGGTCCCAACGCCGATGACACACAGCAAGCGTGTGTTCTATCACTAAATGATGCTGTGTGTGGTAATAGCTGTCTAGACTTCTGTGTTATATGTCACACAACAAAGATTTGTTTCTGTCTGTGTAACAGAACCTGCACCAACCCAGCACCCAAGAGAATGGGGATGCCTTGTGTTGGGCACAACATCAGAAAAAATAAAGGGGGTTGTGTAGCTGTAGGCGCGTGCGATCAGAGTGAGTAGAATCAATAAACGGTAGTTTGTAGAATTAATTAACGATAGTTTGTAGAATTAATTAACGATAGTTTGTAGAATTAATTAACGATAGTTTGTAGAATTAATTAACGGTAATTTGTAGAATTAATTAACGATAATTTGTAGAATTAATTAACGGTAGTTTGTAGAATTAATTAACGGTAATTTGTAGAATTAATTAACGATAATTTGTAGAATTAATTAACGGTAATTTGTAGAATTAATTAACGGTAATTTGTAGAAATAATTAACGATAATTTGTAGAAATAATTAACGATAATTTTTAGAATTAATTAACGATAATTTGTAGAATTAATTAACGATAATTTGTAGAATTAATTAACGATAGTTTGTAGAATAAATAAACGATAGTTTGTAGAATAAATAAATGATAGTTTTTAGATTCAATAAACAATGCACTAGTTTGTAGAATCAACGAACCATATAGGCCTACTAGTTTTGAATATATTAATTTAAAACATTTTTTAAAGACAATAATAGCTTAAATACAATGTTCACTACTTTGTGCACCTAGATAGCGTAGAGTACACTGAAAAAAATTAACTCTAATAACTTTATCGGACCATTGGGGGAACATCTAAGGCAAACATAATATTTATCCTAAGAACGGGTTAATGTAAGTAGTTGAAAACAAGACAGTTTACTGCATACATTCACACTATTGATGTAATTGTGTTATGTCAGCACTAATTTGTACACAATTCTGTTCTTGATACACTTCGAAAATGTGGGTTTTCATCAATCTAAAAACTCTTTAATACAGCACAACAATACAACGTTTTTGGTTGTTTTTTTCCTCAGAGTGTGCTAAAGGTTACTATGGTTACAACTGTTCCTACACCTGCACTAAATGTGCCAACGACTGCGACCCGGTCAATGGTTCATGTGACACCTGCTTACCTGGCTGGACAGACCCGCACCTCGGCTGCTCAACACGTAATGTTGATACAAATATTGGTGTTGTAAAATTGTAATGTTGATATAAATATTGGTTTTGACACCGTAGAAATGTTGATACAAATAATGGTTCCCGTAGAACTGTAAAGTTGATATAAATATTGGTGTTGTTACCGTAGAAATATAATGTTGATCCAAATACTAGTGTTGAGGACGTAGTATTTAACTGTTGATTCACATATTGGTGTTGTCGTAGAATTGTAATGTTGATACAAATTTAAATATTGGTGTCGATAAAGTAATATTGTAATACAACTCAGAGGCGTAGAGAGGGGGGGGGGGGGGGCGGGGGGTGCGGACCGCACCGGGTGACACCATTTAGGGGGGGGGGGGGGGGTGACACCAAGGCAAAAAATAGCAAAATATATAGAGAAAACTTGAGGGGGTGCAAATCGAAAGTTTGAGGGGGGGTGCAAATTGAAAACTTGAGGGGGGTGCAAATCGAAAGTTTGAGGGGGGGGGTGCAAATAGAAAATTTGTCCCCGGGAAGTCGCTACGCCTTTGGGGGGGGTGACACCATTAAGTGCCGCACCGGGTGACACCTGACCTCGCTACGCCACTGATACAAATACTGGTGTTGTTACCGTAGAATTGTAATATTGATCAAAATATTGGTGGTGTTTTCGCAGTAGTGTATTGTTGATACAAATATTGGTGTTGTTGTCGTAGAATTGTAATATAGATAAAAAAAACATTTTTTGGTGTTTTGTTGATACAAATATTGGTGTTGAGAGGGTGGTATTGTAATGTTCATCACTTTTATTTTTAGACATTTTTCTCTGTGAGAGGGACACTTGAAACTTTCGGAGAGGAAGGGGGGGGGGGGGGGAAGCACTCTAATTTCCGGGAAAGACTAGTTAAACTATGTATTTTCTTTATAACTTTTCTGTTTTTCTGTTTCGTCAGGGGTGTGAGTGGATCAGTTTCTCCAACCCACCCCCTCCCCAAAAGATTCCTGAAATAAACATATATTTTTATGCAGCTTGAGCTACTGAGCTAAAGTATTTCCCATATTATCACGTAGATCAAGCCTTTTATTTAAATCATGCTAAATATTTTAATAGTGATAAAGACATTTATTTAAAATATGCTCCGGGGCTTTTGAATTTTCTGCATTGTAATGCTGATAGTTGTAATTTAACTACTCGCGCTTCTAATTGCAATATTTAAGGAGCCCGTTTTTTTTAATGTATACTCTGTATTGTTATTTTCATAACCGTTTACTTTTGAAAACACATTATCATTATTTAAGCCTCTATTTGTTCATTAAACTTTAAGTAGCCATTAAGAAACGTTTTGAGTAGAATATGACATAGTGACATCAGTTGTTGATACTAAAAATATCCCCAGCTTGCCCCAAGTGGACCTACGGCTTCCAGTGTCGGGAGCTGTGTGAGACCAAGTGTGGCTACGACTGTGAGGAGCGGGTGACAGGTAAATGCCCAGGTAAATGTCCAGGAAATAGGCTAATGTGTTCTGTTTATAAGCCGGTAAAAATAACAAAAATTCGTACACGTCCAGATAAATATCAGATTTACTTTTACACGTCCAAATAAATGTCATATTTTCTCTCATATAATGAACTGTTTAGGACCTTTCAACAATATATAAATAAACGTATCAGTATATTTTACAAGATGATAGAGTGGCAGTGGATTGTTTGATGGCTGCTGAGTGGTGTGTGATAAACATTTTTGTTTAGGTTGGCGTGTGCTAAACTTTGCTTTTCCGCCTGTCTCTCTCCCTTACTCTCCCTCCCCACCCTCTCTCTCTCAATCTGTATATATGTATATATATATATATATATATATACGAATATATATATATATATATATATATATATATATATATATATATATATATATATATATATATATATATATATATATATATGAACATATGTATCTTTCTAGCATCGAAAATGTTTTTCCTGTTCGTCCTCTGGATAGACTTAATGTTGATGATAATGACCATATCGTTTGCTGTTATCTGGTAAGTGCCTTACGACATCTTCATAACCCTCCTAATTATCGTGTTTATTACCCTCTTCTACCAATCAGCTCGCTCGTCACAATACATATAAATGACCTCCTACTTTTACATACAAACAACGAATACATATTTCAAAGTTTTTTTTTTTTCCTCAGGGCTCACGGGGCCACACGGGTGAACATTCTCATGTTGCTGTCTGCCATTCGAAGAAAGAACTACGTCTGGAGATATAGGAACGCTAAAGGCAAGGAGATGGAGGTTCTGGCTTCTAGATCCTTCTACAAGATTTACAAAGCCCGGACTGGCAAAACTTTCCAGCAGGATGGGAAAGTCACTAAATTTGTGTCTGACAACGCGTTAGAATCCAGGAGAAGATTCAGTGTGAATCGGTTGACTGAGGACGAGTCTTCCGGCAGTGCCTCCACCAGCACGTCTGCCATGGTGCCCATCGCTGTGAATTCCGTTAGTAAACTGTCGTCTGCCAAACAGTCAGAGCAGAAGACGTCATCTAAGGATGTCACAGCCAAGCCGTCGTTTGTTAAAGAATCTTCTACGAAAATTGATTCTTCCAAACCGTCCACGACTAAAATCTCCTCTGCGAAAGAATCGCTTTCAAAACCATCCGCTACTAAAATCTCGTCGGCTAAAGAATCCCTTTCAAAACCATCAGAAACTAGAATATCGTCTGCTAAAGAATCTCTTTCAAAACCATCAGCTACTAAAATATCGTCAGCTAAAGAATCTCTTTCAAAACCATCCGCTACTAAAATCTCGTCTGCTAAAGAATCTCTTTCAAAACCATCCGCTACTAAAATATCGTCTGTTAAAGAATCTCTTTCAAAACCATCAGTAACTAGAATATCGTCTGGTAAGGAACTGACACCAAGTCCTTCGTCCGGGAAAGGTTTTGTTAGTAAAAAACTAAACTAGCGTCTCCATTAAATTTTACGTCTATTGGGACTTTCGTCGCAAACTGGCAAAAGAAACAATTTTTGCAACAACCAGTCCAGGACGTATGGTTTGAAAAGAAAAGCAAACACGTGTTTAAGCTTTTGAGTAAGCTACAATTTGGATTGGTGGTTTCTTTTCGTTTTTCTGACTTAATTTTTTCGTCTAATTGATGTTTTAGAAATATGGTACTTTAATTTTTTAATTCATTTCAGATTGAATAGGTCTTTATGTAGTGTAAAAATTTTCTGAAAAGTGATTTTTATCTGTTTAAAATGTTGAAAATTGATGTCTTGTGAATAAATGCTTCTATAAATTGGCGAATTATCCGCTAAAAGCTACTAGATTAAAGAATAAATTTAAGTCAGCATTATTATGGGTTTTATTATGTTTCTTACAAGTAAATTAAATATAAATATTCCAAAAAAAAAGATCGTCAAATATTATTATTTTATTATGTTATATTTATAATTTTATTATTAAAACACACACACATTTATTGAAAAAAACAATGTTTTGCTTTTTTTTATAAATCGAAAGCAGAGTGAAACAAAATAATGGGCGAGCGGATGGATGAAGAGATGGATAGTTGGTTGGATGGGTGGGTGGATGGATAGACAGGTGGATGGATGATTCGATGGATGGACGGGTGGATGGGTGTAACGATACTTGAAAGACGAGAAACAGAGCAAAGATCTTTAATATTCCAGTTTGACCTGATCTTATTTACACATACCGACACTGAATTATTATGTGAAGTCCCTGCTTAAAAAGGCATATAGAAGTGAACCGTATGTTACATAGCCAATTAAAATATGTGAACTCTGTTATCTTATAATGTTTATTTAGTGTCTCATTACTAAGGTATAATGTTAATATAAAAGACTGAGATTTTTTTGGTAAAAATTGTATGAGTTGTTTTATTTTCAACATTTTTTTTCTCCAAAAGGTATCTCTTTTCGGAGTAAGTTACGTTCAAAAAGTAAAACCGTTTTGCTTTCTAAGAGATAACAAAAGTGATAACTAAAGAAATTAATAATCAATTCTTCTAATTCGGACTGAAATATAATACACAATTTAAGTATAAGATAAACCGGGATTGATCTCCCCAAAACTTTCTCGAATATTCTTATATAAAATAACTAGGGATGGGTACTCGGGCTATAGACATGATTTTTAATCCATTTTAAATACTTAAAGTTTTAAAAATAGAATAAAATCTCGTAGACAAAAGAATTGCACACCAATTGAACGCCAAATAAAAAAAGTGCATAATAGTGCGCAATATTATTAGTACTTTAAAAATTTACATTAGTTTTTTGAGAAATCGGAAGTAGCGTAAATTACTACTTGCGGTCAACGGAAATTACTCAAAATTTAACAGAAGGTAGAGAATTAGATTTTGTACTTACATGAGTAATTTCATTTATCTATCTGAAATAGTACTCAAGTTATAGGCTTTTGAAAAATTCAAAGTAGGAAAGGTACCACTTCCGGTTATCGGAAATCGCTCAAAAGTTGATACGGATCTACGATTTTGATAAAATACTTATATATGAAATTTCATCAACCTAGCTGTAACGGTACTCAAGTTATCGTGTTTACACACGGGCACACACACACGCAGACATACGGACAAGATTGCAACATTATGTTTTTCAGTATCAGTGAGGTGTAAAACGTCGAGAATTGTAAAAATCTCGATTTTTTTTTTGCATGATTACAAGACTTTCTCTATACTTCGTATATACGAGAAAGTAAAAATGAAATCTTAACCTAAACGAAGCAGCATTAGAACTAATTGTGTTCCCGCGGAAATAGAGGAAAATCGCATTTCCTTTTACCCGAAATAATCCAAAATTTAGAAATCTGCGCATTAAATATAATATTTATACGTGAAATTACGTCGACGGTAATTAAGTTATTGGCTTTTGGAAAACTTGAAGAAGAAGAAATGCCTACTGCATTTACCAGATATCTCTCAAAAGTTAAAAGAAACTTATTATATTGGTCGAAGGCAATGATGTCTGTACTGCATTCGAGCATTTGGTTAAAGCTAGCCCTGCAGAAATTATGCCACTGGTACATTATTGGAAGGATACTTACATGGGGAGGCGAAGGAGAAACCGTCGAGGTGACCCGCGATTCGATCTTGCTATTTGGAATGTGCATAATCGTGTCTCTGAAAATCTACCCCGTACAAACAACTCAGTCAAGGCATGGCATCGAGCATACCAACAAATGGGAGATTATAAATTGATCAATCAGTTTCGTCTGGATTAAGATGACATCAAAATCGAACTGGAACGTCATCTAGCTGGAGTTAATCAACCAGAAGCTTCAAAGAACAAATATGTTCAGCTGAACCGAAGATTGCAGGCGATTGCTTCAACCTATGCTAATGATTCAGGTACAGCCCACAACTTAGCAATATAAATGCAACTATAAAGTAGCGTTTTATTAACTTGAACTTATTTTCATTTTGTTACATTTCATTTCAGTTTATATTCTCACTTTAGGCCTTACATTTAAAATCTTTGTATGTGTTATTAGATTGTTTTGAATAATTGGACTTCACGTTGATTATACTAGTTTTTTTTAGTTAAAGAAACTGAACAATTAGTTTGTTAATGAAACAATAAAGAGTAAACATCAAACGATGCCTTCTGATCTGAGGTAATTTTCTTGTTCGTATTTATTAAATATGGTTTTTCGATTATTAGTTTGCGATCTTTTAGTTATGTCGGCGCTCTTTTGTCGGGAAATTAGTGCGCTCTTATGTCGGCGCTCTTTTGTCTGCGCTCTTATGTCGGCGCTCTTTTGTCGTGCGCTCTTTTGACGGGGTGCCCAAGAAACGTGCAATTGACAGCAAAAAGCCTTAAATGTTAGGACACGGATCTGTAACGTTGTAACAAGAACACGTCAACGCTCCAATGATTGTTGTTTCGATTCAATTAGTTTGATAAAAATAAGTCACTGATGCTTATACGCAGTGAAATAGAAACATTTTAAAAATCGATTTTGCTTTATTTATTAGCATACTTTAATTGTATAGCGCGATATCTAATGTTTCTATTGTTTTATGTTAGCGTCAACATATCAGCTAACGTACGAAATAGTTGGAGGGTGACAATGGCATGACTGTCATACAGAACACGACATTGTCGTGCGACAAAACATTAGCCAACTTTACAACCCGCAGCCTCTTGACGCGTACAAGTCATACACCATTGACAGCATCTTAAGCCATGTCAGCAACCTATGTCGTCATCATTCAACACTTATGAGCACCATACACTATATTACAGTAACACATACTATATGATCGTGTTATAAAACATACTATAAGCTTATAAAAACGATACAGTCTCTAGTGCGACTGCCAGTAATATATAACTAAGATCGAAAGCGCTAAAACGAAACACGGATAACATGAAGGCTCATTTTCTGATTTATCTCTTCATTCTGATGCTTTATAAAGGTAAGACTTTTCAGTCTCCAATAAGTCAATTATTAAATAAATATATATAAAAGAAAGTGATAGTCACAACAAACTAGGTGTTAGTTTTTTAAAACTTCTTTGAAAAAGTAGACACCGGCTAAGTTTTTGTCTTAAGATAGTATCCTCCAATCTTTAATATGATATAGGCCTATGTGTGTTTAAATTTGTGTTACTTAATATGCATTATCAATACATTTATTTTACTACTATCTTTGAAGAAATAAATAAATAAAAAGTGGTCAGATGCTGGTCATGGCACTTGTGGGTGCCGCAGGAGATTAAAGTCACAAAGTCCACCACAAGATGAGTGAAAATAGACATGGACTGACCAGCGCCTTTTAAAAATAATATTTAAAAAAAGAATCTTCTCGACCACCACCACCCGCGATATTTTGTGAGGTTGTTGACCGATGCCCTTTTGTGCCAGAAAAAAAAAGCGTTATATCTTTTTTTTAATATCGTTATGGAGGTCAGAGCTAACCAGTTTTATTTCTTTACATAACAGTTATTAAGTTTGTTAAAAACGCTGCAAATTTTCAAAACAATTGTTAGGATGAAGATGGCCAATTTTTAGCTTGGATCTCGGTAATTAACTCAGCCTTATGGGTAAATTGTCAGTCAGCATTTTTGCGGTCGGTTATTGGCTGAAAACTAACCGTGGGCAACCATCCCCATATATCAGCTATACATTAAAACAAAAAACTATTTGACGACAATCCCCAATACATCAATGCGAGGCAAATAATCCTTAAAAGGGCCAAGGTTATCCAGAAGTTATATTTCCTAACATAACCATTGTATTTATTGTGCAAAACGAGGCAACTTTTCAAAAGTTTGTCTCAAGGCACTTAGGCTCTATACATGTAGACAATTTTCGACATAGTCCTTTGAGATTTATTCGGCTTTAAACCGAAACCAAAACCAAAATCACAACCCCAGCTTCAAATTTAACTGGGAACGAAAAATGTCTTTAAAAACGGATTTTTATCCAGAATCCGCATTTTAACCGGATTGAACCTTGATCTACACGTTGCTACCGCACATTCATACTAAAGATAGTCGTTGTCATATCCTAAACCTGGCACCTAAGCTCAAACTTGACAAAAAGTCGTATCCACGTATCTCTACGGTTGGGGGCGGTGAGCGCAGCTCCCCGAAGAACGTATAACGCCGTCTCAAAAGAATTAGAATATATATATATATATATATATATATATATATATATATATATATATATATATATATATATATAATATATAAGTTTTCTTTGCTCCAACTGCGGCGAAAAATGTCTGAAAGAAACACTGGTCGCATTTGTTGATCCTACAGGCTAAATCTAGACCCAATTTTTACTTTTGGCTGCTAAACCTCAATCATGAAGACATGAAGACAGTGTTTCTTTCAGACATTTTTCACCGATGAAGGAGGGGGGACGATTAAACTAAATTATTTCTGGGGGGGGGGTCGGATTAAATTATCCGGGGGAGGGGCGGCTGATAT